TCGCCTCACGCTGGGACGAGATGGCGCCACAGGGCAAGGCCCACGTGGCAGTTGCTCTCGAAAGGCTTCGTGTGAAGTGCAACCACTTCTGCGAGACCGTCTTGAGCAGCGGCAGCCAGAAGTTCCCGACCGTTGTGGCGGAGTTGGAAGCCATGGCCGCTGAGAGGGCCAGCAACCAACTGGCTGCAGGACGCCCTGCCCAGCCTTGAGAAAAAACGGTGTTTCCAAGTCTTTAGCCTTCGCAGATTTCCTGCGGCCCGACCGGGGCATTTTGAATGATTCTCGCATATGCCATTCCCTGGCTATGCCGCGAACCCCGATGGCAGCCACGTGTAACAGCAGCTCGAAACAGATCATGCCCTGAAGAAGCCCCAAACGGCGTCTGTCATTGGGTTCGCGGACGTGCCTAACTATACATACATTCGTCGCCACCAGGCGCCCCTTCCAGATTCCAGATTTTTACGTGCGCCAACTGCACGTTGCAAATAAACATGCGTCTTCATACATCCGTGCGGACCTTGTCTCTGTGTCTGTGCCCCCCAACCTTGAAGCTAGAGGCTCAGATGAGGGACCATGGTGCTAGAAGCTTTGGGTGTATTCTGTCCTTCAATGTCCGCACGCCGGCGCCAGCCGGCTGAATCTTGCATACCGCACAGCTATTGGGGCTGGCACCCTTTCCAGCAATTCGTGCATGACTGGGCACTGGAAGCCGTACACTTCCCAATACCGTCACGGCTACAGGCCCAGAGGACCTTTGCGGAGCGAGCTGCTGCCACCCCATGTGTGGCTTTTCATTGGTTCTGAAGTGGGGCGAAGGGAGGGACTGCTCCGGAGGGAGTGGACCCCACAGCATCAAAACCCTTTAATGCTTAATCTGGGACCTTCCCATTCCCCCTGTCAGAGCCTTTGGGGCCTGTAAAGAGCGTGTTCCGCTTGGTCCGGCGCTGCCCGCTCCGGCCGGGAACCCGGCACGCGGCCTGGAGAGTACTTCCATGGTGGCATTTAGAAGTAGAGATGTGATGGGAAGGAGGGGTTGTATGGAAGGGTGACGAAATACCACGGGCCCGAATCTTTTAGGGTACTCCCAAAAAAAGACCGCTATTCCTATGAGCCTGCAGATGGATATAGTTTTGTAATTGGGGATCTCTCTCTGCGCGTCTCAATGGTGGCGCTTTCAGTGTATGGGGGCATGTGAATGATGTTTGGGAACTGAATTCTAAGGCCTCAACCTCAAACCCCAGACCCCAAAACCTAAACCCTAAATCCTAAAACGCTGGACCCAGATGAAGCCTTATTTGAAG